TACGAGCCCCCGATGGGGAGGACTGGGCTGGCTCTGCGGGCTCCTCGGGGTGGAAGCTCTCCTGCAGCCCCCCGATTGATCCCCCCTCTGGATGGCAGCCTGCGGCAAGTGCAGCCGGGCTGATGGCTGAGTGGTGTGATGTGCCCAGTGTGGGCACTCCGGGCACTCCAAGCCAGGACTGCTTTGCAAGTGGGACACCCCTGAGAACTGTCTGTCCGGGGTGGGGGTCGGGTCCCTTTAAGCACAGCCCTCGGCTAGCCTGAGGCAGCAGCTCCACGCTCTAAGTCCTAATCTGATGCCCTGCCGGCACTGCTTCCAGCCAGCCTTAACCCCGGTTCAGGGTCCACTCAATGTGGACATGCTAGTTCAAATTAACAAAATGCTAATTCGAACTAGTTTTTAAGTCTAGATGCGCTAATTCGAATTAGCTTAGTTCGAATTAACTAATTCGAACTAAGTTAGTTCGAATTAGTGTTGTAGTGTTGACATACCCTTTGAACAGCTAGTCACCTGCTTTTGTTACTACACTTTTGTCATGTCCACACCCTAAATTCATACCCAAGGTTACCTCCCTCTTCCATCTCAATAAACCTATTTACTTATTTGTATTCTTTCTCAAGCCACATGCCAACAAAAGGGAGGCTTCCCTTTGCACTCTAGATGTCCATAGAACACTGGCATTCTATATAAAGCAGAGTTACTCAACATGTGGCCCGTGGGCCGCCTGTTTGTTTGCAACCTGCTGTGCAGTTTGGGTTTACGTGGGGCTCAACATGCAGCCTGTGGGTGGGAGCCAGAACAAAAAGGTAGACAATATAATGATCTTCTGTTGATATACGTTTAAGTAGTTAAATTGCTGAACTGTCATTGCTCATTAAAAGTGCTGTCAAATGGGTGGAAATTGGATAAATACTGCATTTTATTAATATCAGCAGAACTGACTTAAATGGGGCCTGAGTGTTGTGTAATCTTGCCTTAATCTTTGTATTCATGCCCATCAGTGTGAAAGAAGCTATTTGCATATATTTGCATATGTATTTGCATGTACATGCAACAACACTTAAGTTGCAGCCCTCGGCATATGCTGTTAGTATCATTGTGGCCCTCAGGTTTTCAAAGTTGAGTAGCCCTGATATAGAGAGAACAAAAGTATTCAGAAAATCATCCAGGCTATTTATATTTTCCTCACCCTCCACTTCACCCCTGGCTGCCTTCTCTAGCCCCCTGGATAATGAGGCCCACAGCTGCTTCCATTAGCTCTTCAGGCATGGACTTGCTCAGCTGGCATCCATTTCCCTTTTCAGCCAGGCTGTAGTGGCAGAGCTTTGGCTTAGCCAGCTGTCTGTCACAGCAGTAACTGAGGTTCTTCAAATTGGTTGTCCCTGTGGATGTTCCATTACCCATCCTCCCCTCTACTTTAGAGTTTCAGCTTCATCATGAGTGATGGTTGGCTGTGTGCCTGGATTAGCTTCTCAGAGCAGCTTGTGCACTGCCAACCAGGGCACAGCCAGCAAAAGTCTCCAACTAGAAGTGCAGCGCACCAAAACATCTAAATAGAGCACCCACAGGGACAGCCATCTCTAAGAACTTCAGTTACTGTACATGGTAAGTACAGTACAGTATCCTCTTTAATCACAAATTTTTGGGATTCATGAAGAAATTACTGAATAAAATCCTATGGCTTGTGTTACACAGAAGTTCAGATTAGGTGATCATGAAAATTCTTTCTGTTTTTAAAATATATGCAGACATCTCTGATAAGCTAAATGGCTGTTTAATTTCTTCAAGTCCTTGTTTGTTTTTTCTAGCCTATGTGTTACCTGTGAAAGTGGAGATGGAGATGGTGATTCAACAATATGAGAAGGCAAAGATTATTCAAGATGAGCAGCTTGAAAGACTAACCCAGATCTGCCAAGAACAAGGGGTAAAAAATCCATGATATATTTATTTATGTTGTCTATTAAAGACACTGGTTTCATGAAGTTTTAAATAGCTCAAATAAGTTGCTAAGATAAGAGATTTGCAAAATTACCACTAGGAAGTCTATTGAAAGATGGCAGACTTCAGCTTGAGTACTTCCTCGATTGCTAAAGTTTCTAATTACCTGGAGGAAACTGCAGCCTATGTTCTTATTTTTACCCTCCTCCCCTCCCCTAATATGTGAAACAAACATGACTTTAGAACATGCAGATATCATTAAACAAACATTGAAAAACTATCTTTTCCCCTTGTCTGTGTCTACACTGCACCCCTTTTCCGGAAAAGGGATGCAGATGAGACAAGTCGGAATTGCAAATGAAGCGGGGGATTTAAATCTCCCCCGCTTCATTTGTATAAACATGGCTGCTGCTTTTTTCCGGCTCGGGGCTTTGCCGGAAAAAAGCGCCAGTCTATACGGGGATCTTTCAGAAAATAAAGCCTTTTCCGAAAGGTCCCTTATTCCTCTTAAAATCAGGAATAAGGGACCTTTCGGAAAAGGATTTATTTTCTGAAAGATCCCGTCTAGACTGGCGCTTTTTTCCGGAAAAACCCCGAGCCGGAAAAGAGCAGCAGCCATGTTTATACAAATGAAGCGGGGGAGATTTAAATCCCCCGTGTCATTTGCAATTCCGACTTGTCTCATCTGCATCCCTTTTCTGGAAAAGGGATGCAGTGTAGACACAGCCCTTGTGTCTTTACGTTTATAGTAACTACTTTTTCATTTTAATGGAAGAGCATAACTTCCCTAATAACTAAGGGTATGTCTACACTACCCCGCTAGTTCGAACTAGCGGGGTAATGTAGGCATACCGCACTTGCAAATGAAGCCCGGGATTTGAATTTCCGAGGCTTCATTTGCATAAGGGGGAGCCGCCATTTTTAAAACCCCACTGGTTCGAACCCCGTGCAGCGCGGCTACACGGGGCACGAACTAGGTAGTTCGAACTAGGCTTCCTAGTTCGAACTACCGTTACTCCTCGTGAACTAAGCTAATTCGAACTAACGCGTCTAGAACTAAAAACTAGTTCGAATTAGCGTTTTGCTAATTCGAACTAGCATGTCCACATTGAGTGGACCCTGAACAGGGCTTAAGGATGGCCGGAAGCAGTGCCGGCAGGGCATCAGAGGAGGACTTAGAGCGTGGAGATGCTGTCTCAGGCTAGCCGAGGGCTGCGCTTAAAGGGACCCGACCCCCACCCCGGACAGACAGTTCTCAGGGGTGCCCTGCTTGAAAACCAGTCCTGGCTTGGAGTGCCCGGAGTGCCCACACTGGACACATCACACCACTCGGCCATCAGCCCGGCTGCACTTGCTGCAGGCTGCCATCTGGGGAGAGGGGGCAATTGGGGGGCTGCAGGACAGCTTCCACCCCCAGAAGCCCGCAGAGCCAGCCCAGTCCTCCCCATCGGGGGCTCATACCCCATTCCCCCCTCACCTCCTTCCAGTTACCCTTCCCTAGCCCCTTTTCTTGATGTACAAAATAAAGGACAATTGTGTTCAAAAATGGAATCTGTCTTTATTGAACAAAACTGGGGGAGACTGGGAAAAGGAGGTGGGAGAGGGGAAGAGAGAGGGTGCGAGAGGGGAGGGCAACTACAATGATCAGGGGTTGGGAACAGGTCCCATATGAAGAGAGGCTAAAGAGACTGGGACTTTTCAGCTTAGAAAAGAGGAGACGGAGGGGGGACAGGATAGAGGTCTATAAAAGCAGGAGTTGGGTGGAGAGGGTGCATACAGAAAAGTTCTTCATTAGATCCCATAAAAAGGGACTAGAGGACACCAAAGGAAAGGAATGGGTAGCAGGCTTCAAACTAGTAACAGAAAGTTCTTCTTCACAAAGCAAAGAGTCAACCTGTGGAACTCCTTGCTGCAGGAGGCTGTGAAGGCTACAACTAGAACAGAGTTTAAAGAGAAGTGAGATAAAGTCATGGAGGTTGGGTCCATGGAGTCCTATTAGCCAGAGGGTAGGAGTGGTGTCCCTGCCCAAAGTTTGTGGAAGGCTGGAGAGGGATGGCACGAGAGACAAATGGCTTGGTCACTGTCTTCAGTTCATCCCCTCCAGGGTCCCTAGGGTTGGCCGCTGTCGGCAGACAGGCTACTGGGCTAGATGGACCTTTGGTCTGACCCAGGACGACCATTGTAAGCTCAGGGCTCAGGGTCGGGGGTCTCACTGGACC